GCCAGTTCAAATTGACGATGATGATGACGTTGCCTGCATTAATCCACCCACCCTGGACTATAGGTTAATTCGCAACCGTGTTGTGGTGCCCCAAAATAACTTTACGGAATAGCTACACGGTTTAGCAGAGTTTTCAAGATTTGCAAATGCAAATTAGTTAGTTAGTTAGTTAGTTGGGTTATCCTCATTGCACTCCGGACCTGTCCATAGGTGCTCAGATCCTCCCCTCAGTATGAACCCCAACGTCCGATGGCTAATAGTACCAGTTCTATGTTGATTAACAAATGCAAATATAAAGGGATACACACCTTATGATAATAAAATAAAATGTCCCCCGAAACTGAAATAAAATAACCTTATCTGCTCAAAGAATCAATAATATATTACAGAAGGGTCATATAAGACTGCTTTGTGTAAATGACTTGCATTATAAGAGTCTGTATGCTTGAATGAAAGGTTCAGATGGCTTCTTTATCGGGATGTTTAGCTGTCAAGTCTGTTGAGAGTTGTTGGGTATCAGGTCGATGGTTCCGTTTCACGTATCAGTTTTGAGAAATACACACTTGGCTTTTCTTATAACTTCAACAGGACACAGTCGAGTTGAAGGCGATAAAATGGTGACCTGCTCAGTGGTAGATTCAAAAACATTTCAGATACAGTCACCCAGAGTAACTCGCACTAATTAAATTAGTTAACACTGAAAGATAATGGATCACATGTGGCGTAGGAATCGACTCTCGCTCGAAGGTTTTGAGTTTCAATTTGAAAAAACGACCTTGGCTCCCATGTCGACGCTGGAGAAAGAATAGGTTAAACTCGTTTTGGAAACAAAGAGTAACAATTATATTCCTTACCTAAAGTTCAAAAGATGCACAAGACCTCTTGCATACCTAATGTTTTGTACTGAATTCTCCTCAATCATGGCTGGAACAAAATTGTTACACCGAAAACCAATTTTGATACTTCACCAGCTCTTCTGATAGCCGTGAATGCATGTATGCATGTATCAATACAAGTTGTTGTTGTTGTTCTTGTTACAATATTTGACTATATTACTTCTCTCTTTTTTCATTTAGTTATTGTAAATTAATAAGAAGAGGCGAAATATTGACATCTTAAAAGATCTGAACATCAAGGAAGATTGGCTAATAAACAGCATCATTTCTCCGAAGCTGAAATATTTTGGTCATATCAAGCGCCACAACGAATTGGAAAACATTATAGCAGAAGACATGGTACCAGGAAGGAGGGGCAGAGACCTACCGACACGAAAATGGGCACAGGATATAAGTGACTCCTTGAGTATGAAAGTATAGGAGGCAGGAGAACTGGCATGAGACTGAATTTCTTTCGGGCAGACCGTGATGAGAGCGACGTTCTGCAAAGGACCAGCTTCATAATGATGATGCAATTAATATTTAGTTACATAGCATTACAAATAAAAAAAGAAAAAATGCTGATGCGATTTAACGCGTTATAACATTAAGGAGAATGTGAGGAAGTGATAGCAGCATCAAGACCAGACTCGGAGAGTACCAGACCTGATGGAATGATAGGAGCTGGTGAGTGTGAAATTCAACGAAACCAATAATTACACTTTTGTTGATGTATGGATTTAACTGCTTGTTCTGTTTTGTTTGTGGAGTTCGTTACTGTGCTGTACTTTTAGATTAGGGGTTTTTTAAGTGCTCTCTCTCTCTCTCTCTCTCTCTCTCTCTCTCTCTCTCTCTCCTCTCTCTCTCTCTCTCTCTCTCTCTCTCTCTCTCTCTCTTTATTTGCTCATATTTTTCTTTGTGTCTTTTACGTTTTTCTTTTTTTAAATTTTTTCTCTCATTCTTTCTTTCTTTCTTTCTTTCTTTCTTTCTTTCTTTCTTTCTTTCTTTCTTTCTTTCTTTCTTTCTTTCTTTCTTTCTTTCTTTCTTTCTTTCTTTCTATCTTTCTTTCTTTCTTTCTTTCTATCTTTCTTTCTTTCTTTCTTTCTCTCTTTCTTTCTTTCTTTCTTTCTTTCTTTCTTTCTTTCTTTCTTTCTTTCTTTTTTTCTTTCTTTCTTTCTCTCTTTCTTTTTTCTTTCTTCTTCTTCTTCGACATCATCATCTTCTTTTTTTTTTTCATCGTCATTAGCAGATCCGTCATTACATTCAATACCAGGTTATGCTGGGTTGACCTGACAACGAAGGTCAGTTCTGAATAAACAAATCCGTCTCGGAAATCAATTCTAGGCCAAAATAATCGGCTCAACATACAAACATCAACTCAGCTCGCTACCGCAGCTCACGAGTGCGCGTGCTTGTGTGTCTATGAATTCGCGTGTTTGCGTGTGTATTATATATATATATCTATATATATATATATATATATATATATATATATATATATATATATATATATATATATATATATGTGTGTGTGTGTGTGTGGACGCACACTCGAACAAACTCAGGTCACTTTTGTGGACAGTATGTCTTCGACACACGTGACAGCCAAGGCCACGTGGCATTATTATCCATATCCTGCTTTTATACGTCACGTAGGGACATCACTTGGGGACATCACTTGGGGACATCACTTGGAGAAATCACTTTGGGACATCACTTTGGGAAATCACGTAGGGACATCTCGTATGAACATTACGTAGGGACATCACTTGGGGACATCACTTGGGGACATCACTTGGGGACATCACTTGAGGACATCACTTGGGGACATCATGTAGGGACATCACTTGTAGACATCACTTCTAGACATCACTTAGAGACATCACGTAGAGACATCACTTAAGGCCATCATTTGGGGACATAGCATAGGGACTTCACTTGGGAACATCACTTAGAGCATCACTTAGGGACATCACTTGAGAACATCACTTGGAGCATCACTTAGGGACATCACTTGGGTACATCACTTAGGGCTCTCAATCTAGTCCTCCATTTTGGTTGTCCACTTCTTTTTCTCCAGTCCTGTTCTGCCTTTCAGCGTCAGATTTTGAAGAGGCATCTGGTGCCAGCCTTGGTATGCGCTACGTAGATACTGATGTATATGGCCTCTTTTGTTCCATCTATCCATCACTTGTCTAGTCCGCTTCATGAGAGCTGTTTTTAGCGCGTTACAAATATTCGATCACTTTTAAGTGACCATTGGTACATCCTTTAATTTACCTTGCAGATGATTTATCGTTCGATCTTTTAAGCTCTTCCCTTTGAATGCCTGTTTGTTTCCTCGTCAGCCTGTTGTTGTTTTCTCTGTCTAGCGTCTTTATCCTTCTCTCTTTCTCTTGAATCATCTTTTTATTTTTCCACCTGTCTGTCCATCCAACACCTGTCTTTACGATTGCTCTGCCCCTCTCTAACTGTGCCATTCTTTCTCTGTGTTGTATAAATGCCTAGATCACTGTCTATCTATGAGCTGTACAACCTTTCAACTTATCTTGCCCCCTCCCCAATCTCATTATCTCATTGTCTCTTTTTCTCAATTATTTATTCCATTCTCTTTCTCTTTCCCGCAATTTTACCTCGCCCCCACCACCCCCCCCCCCAAAAAAAAAAATTTGTTCAATTTTCATGAATATATATAGCCTCTCTATATACATGTCAGGCTTTCCTCTTTCTGTCTCCCTTACTGTATTCCTCCACTACCCTCTCTATGTATTTGTCTCCACCTCTGTAGCCTGTATCAGTAAACCCATATATATCTACTCTCCCTTCTCCTCTAAAGTTCTTCTGGCAACTTCGATCATAAATACATCGTGGTGCTGTTGTAGTGTCTCTATGTCACTTGCTATCTATTCATTGGTCTACCTCTCTCTTTCTCTCTCTCATATATATATATATTTATATATATATATATATATATATATATATATGTGTGTGTGTGTGTGTGTAGGGGGTGTGAGTGTAGTGTATAAGGCTTTATATATATATATATATATATATATATATATATATATATATATATATGTGTGTGTGTGTGTGTCTGTGTTTATACGTGTGTGTGTGGGTGTAGTACATAAAGCTCTGTGAACAGGATATATGTATATATATATTTATATATATATATGTAAGTGTATATCATTTATATATATATGTAGTATGTATATATATATATATATATATATATATATATATATTATATATATATATATATATATATATATATATATATATCATTGTCTGTTAGCCTACACAATCTCCAGAATTATGATTCCAGAAAAAATCTGAGAGACGAATCGTCTTACACATCTTTGAACCCTCCTTAAATCAAACCACGAGGAACCTCCAACCCTCCCAAAATAAAGCCACAAGAAAAAAACCCAACCTTTCTACCTGCAGTCTCAGCCGATGCACCTTAATCTCCGTTCTTTCCCTGCTCACAAACACATGCTAACGCACGTGCATCCGTTACCTTTCCTCGCGTGTTGCTCAATTTACAGCCGTGTTGTTTTTGGAGGAGACCAAAAGAAGCAGAGGGCGTTTGACGTAAGCGATTGAAGGAGAGAAACATACCAGGGAGAACATGAGATAGAGAGACTGTCTGTGTGTGTGCTGCCAGAAAATGGGCGGTGCCAGGATAATAGAAGTCTAGAAGGGGATAAGAATGTGAATGCTAACTTCATGTTGGCAAACGGGAATCTACACAACAATCCCGTACGCCTTGTGTCTTATTTGTCCTAGAGCGTAAGGAAGATAACTGATAGTTGAAGACTCCAGACGGAGTTCGTGTTGGCGTACAACAGATGCTATATCTCAGTTTATAGAGCACCTTCAACTGAATCATTCTACGTAGAGTTCGGGATACTGCGTTTGCTTTTAAAAGTGCTCCTTATTTTTGCATTTGCACTTTTATGTAGCCTGAATAAATGCCCTACTGAGGTGAGTAATCATTGCGATAGAAGGCGAATGATATAAAAGAAATTATATATAAGCGAGTAAGGTATTTCTTGAAACAGTAACCGAGAGTCGATCGAGAAATATTTCCAGTGTGTTGTGTGAGGTAAGGAGTCCCAGATGGCGCAGACGATTGTTCAGCTCCAAAGACATCCAGGAACCCCATGGGGATTTAGACTACAAGGTGGACGAGACTTTTCCTCAGAACTCAGTGTGAAAAAGGTACGTTGCATTTTCCGACTTTCTGGAAATAAAAAAAAAATTGTTAGCGATGCTTATCTTTGTTCTCGAGAGTCTCACCTACCCTTCTTCGTGACCTGTATCTGTAGTTGTAGCCGGGGACTGTGAACATACTTTCACAGTTACAACATTCTTTGGTTTGAAGTTAACTACAGATCATTTGTTTACAGGCAGCATCGGTTTGATTTGGACAACTTCTGAACGTTTAGAGGGCAACTTCTTCTTCTTCATCATCATCTTCTTCTTCATCTTCTTCTTCTTTATGTCCACATTTACATCTTCGGGTGTCGAGGGAGTTATAAGGTCCAGCTTCGTGCTCTTCTGGCTGCTTCGACCATAGACATATTGTGGTGATGTAGTATCTATGATGTTATCATCCCATTTTGTTCTTGGTCTACCTCTTGCTCTACGTCGCTGTCCCTTTTTGTGTGTGTGTGTGTGTGTGGTGTATGCCTTGTATAGTATAGCATCAGAAGACATTCTTCCCAAATGATTAAACCATTTGATTTGCTGCCTTTGTAAGTCACGTATAATTGGTTTTGTTATAGCACATTGACAATTACAAAACTCTTTTAACTACAGTTTAAAGGCGAAAAATGCAATGGTATGGACATGTAAAAATATCTAACGAAAGATCTAACGGCTTCTCAAAAACAATACTGCAGGGCTCCGTTGAGGGAAAGAGGAGAAGAGGCAGCCCAAGAACAACCTTGGTTACACAACCTGACTGACTGGACAGCCCTCAGGCATGCAAACATGACGTCAATCGCAACTGGCCGCCAAATGTGGAGAGAGCTGATCAGACAGTCAACAGAAACTGGTGACCTAACGACATCCCGTGTTACAGGATGACGATGATGATGATGAAGTCGCCCCGAATATTCTATGGAGCCATCTAATGTTGCTTTCACCTGCTGCTTGGATTATTTCTGTTGGTAATCTATCAGCACCTGATGCTTTATATTTGGGCGACTGCTTAATGACTTTAACTACTTCAGTAATTAGTATATCAGGTTCTAGCACTGTTGCTTTGTAGTCTTAGGTTGTTCTTTCCTGGCAATCTCCTAAAGGGTTGAAAAGCTCACTGAAGTATTCTCTCCATCCCTCAGCGATCTCTGGTGGGTCTATTAGTAGTTTTCTTGTTTTATCGGTAATTACCACAGCTAGGTTGCACCTCTCATCTCTTCGCATAGTTTTTAGTACTTTGAAAACACTGCTATCGTACTGGCTGTCCCATACCCACCCGAGACTAGCCTCTGACATCTTTGAACTGCTCACTAAGTCTTGACTTCCAACTGTCGTCCGTTCGCCGCGTTGGGTCAAGCTTCAATCATATTCGTGCAGACACAAGACATTAATACTAGCGTACTGACTGCCCTATGCCCACCCCAAACTAGCCTTTGACAGATTGACAAAAACAATTATAAATAATTTAAGAGAATATTTCTCATGATGATATCACTTTGCCCCGCGTGGCTGTAAATAAAACCCCTGATCTCTTCGTCAAATTGAAGGAAAGCAGTTATTTTCTTGCTGCATCTGTATTTAATGATTCTTCTTTTGTCAAAATCTGCTTGTGCCGCTAGGCGTCGCAGTCTATCAGATGATCGGCAACTGAGCCAGGGCGCGCTCAGTCGCTTCATATGCCGTGATGTTATGAAGTCTCAAGTTGTCCGTGACTCCTTCAATCCATCTTCTTCTTGGTCTTCCCCTGCCTCTTGTTTCGATTTTCATGTTGTATGCTCTTGATGCTGGCATCGTTGGTTCCATTCTCATTAGGTGACCAAACCATTTCATTCTTTGCTTCTCAATAAATTTAACGATGGGTATGGTTCCAAAAGTTCTTGTAATCACATCGTTTCTCACTCGATCTCTTTTGGTTTTATTCGCAGCCATTCTCAAACATCTCATTTCACAGGTGGTTAGTCTTCTCTCATGTTCTTTTGTTAATGTCCAAGTCTGACATTGATAACCTAATTTAATGATTACTTCATGTAAAAACAAAAATAATAACACTTGCGCAAAAAAGTGACTTTAAAAATGATAATCTTTCCCATGTGGATTCCGGGGGGGGGGAGGGGGAGGGGGCGGGCCAATGTGGGGGAAACAAGAATAGATCCACTGCTTCCCATCAAGCATGTCGTAACAGTCTACTAACTGGCGGCTTCCATCTTCTTCGCCTACTTTTTTCTTCTTCTTTTTCGCGCTCATCGACTGTAGCTCTTGCTGAATGTTCTGGTTGTTCGTTTCTCGACTGTAGTCCTGTTCCAGTCAGAGTGCATATGTTTGAGAAGCAATAAACCAACAGTCTGCATACAAAACGTCAGAACCGTAAACCGGGTGTGCACGCACCACTCAAGTTCTATAACAAGACTTAAGGGTGGATGAACAACCAATACTTTCCGCCGGCATTTACAGGGGACCCCCCTTTCAACAAACTTCTAGCGTGTTCGATGACATTATCAGAAGATTTTGGATTTCATCAGTGCTAGACCTTCCCAATTCCCCCTGATCCTTACCGGGATGGGAAGGGGTTGAGGGGTGAATTCTTCTGCAATTTTTTTTTTTTTGGGGCTGCTGATGAAGATGCTGAAGCTCTTACGAAAGTGGCGCAAATAAACAAGACCACAAATATAGCCGGAGACTGTTGGCAGCTTCACAAGCTAGCAGCAGATTGTACGTGGTTGAGATTTTTGGATTTATATCTTAAAAGGAATTGAAATTGGGATTGAATAGACATTTTGCCCTGATATGTTGTTTATGGAATGTTCTTGGAGGATGTGATCTGTTGTCTCAGGGACCAGTCCACATGTGCGCATGGCTGATTTGCTAATCTCAGATTGTGTATATTTGCTGCGAAGAATAATGAGGATCAGGATTTTTTTTTTTTTTAAAGAGAAAAGAGAACAAGTTTAGAGTCATAAGGATCTACTTGATTGCACCAGCCTAACCCACATAGAAGGGCTTCTCTCCCCAGATTAGCCTGCCACACGCAGGGAGTATAGCACATAGCACGTACTTCGTAGCTCCAGCGACGATCCTCGAAAATCTCTGGAAAACCTACACTCGTAAACTGAATTCACGAGCCTCAGGGCGTGAGAAGGAAATGACCACTTCGCCAGAGAGCGAATTGTGTGTGAGAGTGAGTGTGTGTGAATGAGTGAGTGGGCGTGTAAGTGACTGTGTGAGTGTGTGTGTGTTTGTGTGTGTGTGTGTGTGCTTGCGTGTGTGTGTGTGTGTGTGTGTGTGTGTGTGTGTGTGTGAAGGGATCGAATGTCGACTCAGCCTCAACTGATTCCAGTAAATCTTCTCATCTATTAAAACTTTGTTCTAAAACCTCATCCTACTTCGCTTTCTGGACGCTTGTTAGGAGCACTTGTTAGGAGGGAGGGGGTGATGGGGGCGCTTATTAAGGGGCTCTTGTTGTGGGCGTTTGTTAGGGGCGTTTGTTAGAGGGGCTTGTTGAGGTCGCTTCTTATAGTCACTGGTTAGGGGAGTTTGTTAGGGGCGCTTGTTTTGGACCACTTATTGGGATATCTTTTTTGGGGCGCTTGTTAGGTTGGCTTGTTAGGGCGTTTGTTAGAGGCGCTTGTTACGGGCGCTTGTTAGGGGCGCTTGTTAGGGGCTCTTGTTAGGGGCTCTTGTTGTGGGCGTTTGTTAGGGGCATTTGTTAGAGACGCTTGTTGAGGTCGCTTCTTAAAGGCACTGGTTAGGGGCGTTTGTTAGGGACGTTTGTTAGGGGCGTCTGTTAGGAGCGAGTGTTTTTAGGCACTTTTTGGGATTGCTTGTTTATGGGCGCTTTTTAGAGTGCTTGTTAGGGGCTGTTGTGAAGGGCGCTAGTTAAAGCCCTTGTTTATGGGCGAAGTAAGTCTGTTCCTGTTTTTCCATAACTGGGACCCGGGAACCCACACGGTGGTTTTAACTTTATAAAAATCCGTCTTGGCGAGGTTTCAGAATCAACATCTTCCCGCCGTCATGCACGCTTGTAAACTAGAAAGTGCACTAAGAACACGACAGGTTCAATTCCTGGTACAGTAACTATAGCTTTCGACTTTTATGTTGTCTAGTGTGTTCCTCTATCTTTCTACTTCTTTCTATGAGTGCCAAATTTTCTGTTACTTGATAAATAAACTAGAAAGTGGGCTATCGTGAAAAAGCAGTTTGTTGCTTTAGCTTACATACATTTATCTCTCCTAGCTCAGTAGGTACTTCCCGTATACCGACCCCTACCACTGACAGAGGCACGTGACTTCAGATATTCGCTAACGTGAGCAGTTTCTAATATCTTATCCTTCTGTGTGAGTAAAATCTAGGCCTTGGTCTGCAAGCGTCGATCCAGATTAGTCCATTTTCCACCAACGTATCTGCCAATGGGGATGGGCTATAAGATATATTTGAGCACAACAATGAGATCGTCATTTTTAACAACTTAGTTAAGTATGTTATCTTAGTATTGTCGTCCCCTGTGAGATGGGGTTTTTTTTTTTTTTTTTTTTTGGGGGGGGGGGGGGGGGGGGGGGGGGAGTTAATTTGAAGCCCCAACCTGGCTTTTGTGGGGCCCCTAAAGATAGCCTGACGCTGAACGGGGTTTCTGGGACCTCGCGATGGGTGATCGTCATCCGGATGGTGGCATTTTGTGTCACCGGGTGTTTATTACTTGTGTAATGTCCTGGTAGGTTACAACTCACTTACTATGTTATGTTAGTTGTGTCGGCGTCTGTGACTTAGACGTTGCAAATGAACTTTGTAATGCTGGGGATGCCGGGTTCGATTCCAGCTGCGGGCCTTGTGTTGGTCTGGACAGTGGTATCGAAAAGCCGACCGTCCAGAAGAAATGGCAAACTACTGGACGTAAACTTCTTAGAAAAATCACAACAGCCGAAAAAATTATGGGGGTTGGTTTTGCCTGTAAAGGATATGCAGCTAAATTTATATTAGTTTGTATGCTTAATGACAACACACTATGTCAGTATTTCCTAAAT